AGAAGGACCTGTTTTGTAAATATGCATCAGACCTGCAAATTCAGAAGTACGAAAACGACCTTACCTTTGAAGCTCCCTATTGGTCTGAATATTCAACTATTACGACAAAACTTTCAGTATACATATAGACTACACTTTGCTCTCCAATCTTGCTTCAAGAAAACCAAACTTTCGTTGAGAGCCGAAGGAGAAATCAGAGGGTGAAGTTCGGGTTCAAAAAGCTCTGTTTATCGACGATTGGAGGTAAAATACTCAACCAAACTTCGAGTTCTTTATATGGATGGTTTCGTTTTTAGGTCCTCTATGAAATCTTAGTAGCCTTATGTCTCAGATTTTAGTTTTTGAATGTTCGATTTTGAGTTTTTACTGATTTTCGAGTGGTTTTAAAACCGAAACTTTAAATGAGTAAATGGAACTCATTTCTTAATGAAAATTCGTGTTCTTTATGTCAAAATATGTTGAATTATTTTCTAAGTATGGTTTGGAACCAGAGGCTCTGGTCATGAAGACCAGAAGCTCTGGAAGAGAGACCAGAGGGGCTCTGGTCCTGTGTTGAAATATATTCTAAGTCTGGTTGGTTCAACCAGAGGCTCTGGTCATGAAGACCAGAAGCTCTGGAAGAGAGACCAGAGGGTCTCTGGTCCTGAATGTCGAATTATATTCTAAGTCTGCTTAGTAAAACCAGCGGCTCTGGTCGTGAAACCAGAAGCTCTAGAAGAGAGACCAGAGGGGCTTTGGTCCGGAATGTTGAAATATTTTCTAAGTGTGGTTTATAACCAGAGGCTCTGGTCGTGAAGACCAGAAGCTCTGGAAGAGAGACCAGAGGGGCTCTGGTCTTGGATGTTGAATTATTTTCTAAGTATGGTTTACAACCAGAGGGGCTCTGGTCAATACAACCAGAGGGGCTCTGGTCAAAGAGTCCAGAGGCTCTGGTCATTACAACCAGAGGCTCTGGTCGTCCATAGAGGCTCTGGTCTTCTTCCAGACTTAGTCGTTTTAGCACAGCGGCATCTTCAGAAGTCCCATCCTTAGCCCCGATGGCTTAATAAAACTTTTAGAATAATTAGGATCAATTTGATTCTAACAATATAGATATATCGTCTAGACACTTATTTGATAAAAGATGATGTTATGGAGTTATAAAATAAATAATTGACTATACGAAGTATTACTCGAGTTGTAAATTTATAGAGACGCTTTAAACTAGAGAGTTTGATTTATAAGATCATAAAATGTTTATTTTGATGTTTTAAGCCGTTGTCGAGTTTTAGTCATGGGGTTTGACTAAAGTTAGTCGTGGTTGACTGAGTTGACCACGGGTTGACTTTTGGCACGTTCGACCCATGTGGATATTAATGATGGGTCAAATAGAGTTGTTTGAGGCATATTAAGATGCTCGGATACGAAGTTTGACTTTAGGTTGGGTCAGAATGACAATAGTTGACTTTTGTGGACTTTTGAGAAATTAAGACGTTAATGAGATGTTATGGTATGAAATGTGTAGGCATTTGGTAAGAGCGATCGGTAATCAATCTATACGCAATCAGGTGAATCTTCATGAGACTTACAATGGGATGCATACCTATGTATAAATTTATTTTCGGGCATTATATGATTTATATGATAATGAGTACATATGCATGATGTTTCAGTTTACATACATGATATATTTTACATGTATGTTATTTTGTGAATGGTTGCATGCTATGTGTTTAATCAGTTTTCRAATAACTCTAGCATGCTATTCCATATTAAAGTTTGATGATTCAAGGGTGGACATTTGACCAGTAAGTCACGACCAGTATAAAACACTACCCGGACAAGTGGGTGATCAATTAAGATTAAAATATCAATCCAGGGCATGTTTGTGACTAAATGACCCATATCCGACTAAACATTATATGAGATCTCTTTTCTTTCAGTGTCGCATGTTTTTCAGAAAATGCATACTATTTGGTACAAGGTTTACAAGTTGATATGTATGATGTGAAATGATCTTTACTTACGTAAACCATGAACTCACTGAGCTTTATAAGCTGACTATAGTATGCATCTTAGGGCCAGGTAGTTCGAGGTTGGATAAGGGCAAAGGACACGCTTAGAGAGTTGCTAATTATCATCTTATTTTTAGTCTTTTGTCTAGCATCGTTGTGTTGATCTTTTGTAATTTAACCTGGTATGCGGTGGGTTAGAACTTAAGTTAATTTTTGGGCGATTCAAAGACTTCCGCTGTAAACGGTTCAAACGGTTTTATTTTAGCCGTCTTTTGGAGTATTTATTTAGGAATTTGTTTCAGGTTACGTGACATTCTAAAAAAAAAAAAAATGAGGGTATTACATATATGGTCTGGTTTAATGTGTGAAATGAAAACTTTTAATATTTATCATTGTTAAAAAAACTCCCTGCAACAGCTGTTGTGGCGCGCCATGGCTTAAAGCTTGTCTCTCACGCCAAGTTAAGCCTGTGGCACGTTATGACCAAATTCGTGGTTTTGTAATGCGATATTTGATTTTTCTTACTTCTTAGTGTCTTATTTGTTAGTTCTAATGTATAACCTAATCTAAATTATTTAATATAATTGAGTCGTTGAGTAATAATAAAAGATATATGTTTATATCTATGATAATTTATATGATATAACGATTTGCCGTCATAAGTCACGCCTTGAAAAACGCCCCGACCTTGCCGTGACTCCTATGGTTTGAGGCTTGACCTCATCGTCTTGCCACGCCTCATGTCATTTAAAACCGTTATGTTTATTGATGATAAAATGCATATACAATAATGAATTTCAATGAATATATGCAATCGATAAATATACTCATCAATGGAATATATATTTTGATAGACGAATAATTGTGTGAGAAAAAAAGTTAAGGTGAGAAGCATAAAAAGAGATATATACTCTTGATCTCGTTTAATCTCAAACTCATACATGAATTGCGCTTGATACAGTGATTGATTCGGTGCATCTCATCCCAATATACATTTAAAGATGAAGATCTTTTATTACGTTTCTCATGTTAAATCTAATTCTCATATGATACCCTATTTTAATAATGCATGTGTCAATAAATATACAAGTTTTTATAGTTCTCAAATTCTTTATTTTAAACCAAATGTATATATATATATATATATATATATATATATATATATTCATATAGGTCCAAATTCCAAATCCTCATACAACATGTCAGTGAGGTAAGAAATGTGAAACTTGACACTACATATCCAAAAATCTGTCACGAGACCCCTTCTATACAAACCCTTTAATGAATTTCCATACCCCACCCCCTACACCCTACCCTACCCCTGTTCCACCCACCTCCATCCTCCAACCATCTGTTTCTATAAGTAAGAGCTTTAAGCAAAACCATGCTTCATCTTTCTGTTCCCTTCACTTCTTCCATGGCTTCCCTTCTCCACCCCCTTCTCTTCATTTCCTTTCTTACCCTCTATTATTCCCCTATTTCCCTTTTTGCCCTTAAAGTCAATGTTGGTGCCAACACAGGTGTCTCTTTGGTAAGCTCCATTTTCTTCACCAATTTCCCTTTTTTTTTGTTATATATTTATATATTTTTGATTTTAATTTCATATATTATTTGTAATATTTAGTCTAAAGAGTGCAGCAATAAATGTGAATCCTCCTTCTGCAAAGGTATATGCATACATACACATATCTATATATATATATATATATATATATATTTGCTCTTGGGATTAGTTTTTTTATTTATTTAAAAATTGGAAATAATTAGATAAAATAACCATGGACAGTGCCACCATTGCTGAGATATGGGAAGTACTGTGGGATATTATACAGTGGATGCCCAGGAGAGAAGCCTTGTGATGAACTTGATGCATGTTGTATGAAACATGATGCCTGCATTGCAGCCAACAACAGTGAGTATATACATATTACTTTCATTCATTCATTCTTCTTCAATATTTATATTTAATTAAAAAACAAATTAATTATGAAATAAATTAATAATTACAGCTTCTCAACAATCGTATGTTATTTTAGAAATTTTGAAAATTCAAGAAAAGTTGGAAAAAGGTAAGAGAATAGAAAAATTTCCAAATTTGAAGATGTTTCCAAACTCGATTAGATACCATTCGCTCATTCTAACTACTTAATCTTCCGACAGGATATTAGTTCTTTTAAATGTCCAGATTATTGGCCACATTCATTTAATTTTAAGATGAGACCAGTCTGTTTTCGTGAGACCATATTTTTACACTTGAAACTTCACATCAAAACGCTATGAAGATAACATTCACAGTGTTTTTGCTGTAAATGTTCGGCTTTTTTTTATTGTTGTCTTAAAAGAAACTTGAATTCATAATCTAAAGATTGATGGGGATGGATACAATGAGTATTTTGTTGGAGAGTATAAGAATGTGTTTTAGAGCATATTTTTATTATATTAAAAGGATTGCAGTTTTAAAATCTTTTTTGGCATATGTTTTTTAATATAATTGCAACTAAAAGCAACAACCATCACATTCTTTTTGTTTTAGATAAATGAATATATTTCTTGAATCACAAGCTTTTGGTCATCACATTATTTGATAGTGAACTTTACCAAATACAATAAATAACCCACCAAACTCATTTTTATTGAGTTTTGGAGGTTGAGATATTAACGTCTCCCTCCTCAATGCCCACCATTTAAGAGCACACCGACATATTATATATATATATATATATATGTATATGTATGTATATATATGTATATGTATGTATATGAATGTATGTATGTATATGTATATATATATGTATATGTATATATATGTATATGTATATATATGTATATATGTATATATATATATATGAATTCATTCAAAGAAGAACTGATTTGTTTGTGGTAATCATGAGATCAAATCTCAACCAGACAAATTAATAATCAATGGTTGAAAATAAAAAAAAAATTAATTACTGAAATTCCAAAAATAACTCTCCATTATTTAATGTGAGTATGTAAATAAGAGCAAAAAGGGTCAATTTTTTTTTTAATTTAATGAGACTATTTTGAGCGCACTAGAAATCCGTTAATCTTCTAAAATTACATTTCATCAAATCAAAACAAAAAACACAAAAGATCCTGTTGGTTGTGCGAGAAGAGGTGGAAAACAATTTGTAGTTTTTGGTTGAACATGTTGTGTTACATTATGATAAAAAAGATTGAGGTTTTATGTGCTACCCAAACCACTAAACCCATGGTGAAATTTTTTTGATAGCAAACCATACAAGACAACCTCCAAACCACTAAACCCATGGCGAGAATTCTTTGGTAGCCTACAACCAAGAACTCATAAGGGGCTACAAATTCCAATAGTTACTGATGCGAGACAAGGTGTTACAATACCAATAGTGTATTAGGTAACACAAGATGTTATGTTACATTGTGATAAAAAAGATTGTGGTTTCATGTACTATCCAAAAAATTATTTTTTCATGTGGTAATTTAGGAATGTAAAATCAAAATTAATTGGAAGTTTGAAACGTATGAAATTAATAAATAAATATTTAATCTATATTTAGTAATTTACTAACATGCTCTTTTACATTAATTTAAAAAGAATAATTAATATATTAAAATGATTGGTTGAGATTGGGTCTCACGGTTACTACAAACAAAATAGTTCTCATTTGATTAAGCCCATATATATATATATATATATATATATATATATATATAAAGGTTAAATCAAATGAGAACCATAAAAATGTTACAAATCTTGTGAGAACCAATTTAAAAACAAATATTTGTTTCATAATGTGATAGTTTCACATGTATTTGTTTTATCATATGAACATTTTTTATGTTTGTTTTTCAATTTACCAAGTGATTCAAAAAAAAAGTTTCACACGCAATTCTTTTTCATAAGGTGAAGATAAACATATGTCAAACAATATGTTAAATCATAACTTTTTATAAAAAATAATGTAAAAAGTTATTTTTATATTAGTTCTCACAAGTTTTTAACCTTTTTATGGTATCTATTTGATTATCGTCCTATATATATACACAAACACACACATGTATATACATAGACAAAGAATCGAATGAGAAAGGAAGTTATAATGAGAAGCGTAAAAAGAGATTTGAACCATTATCACTTTTAATCTCATGGCCGCCCATGAATTGCGTCTTAGAAGAGAACTGATCAGATGCATTTCGGTGCATTTCATTAATGTTGACATTCAATTATGATTGATCCAAAGGTGGAGATCTCGTATTAATTATATATATAAATTAATTCAAATGTGGAGATTTCTTATTATGTTTTTTTCACTGGAACCTACCTCTCTCTCTCTCTCTCTCTATATATATATATATTAGAGGTGACCATTTTGCGGGCCGAGGCAACCTAACTTAATTATTTTGTCCGACCTAATATTGTAAACTCAAGTCTCTTTTCTTTCAGACTTGACAACTAGCCATTGCCCACCCCAAAGATGGGCCAGGTTTGCCAACGAGCCTAAAAAAATGTAACTCTTGTAAATCTATAAATTTGATCATTAACAATTAATTAACAAATATAGAACAAAAAAGTAAAGAAAAAACACCATTGCAATAAAATTTTTAAGCAAATAAAGTGACAGATGGATTTCAAAAAGTGGAGAAAGAAATGAAAAACAAACAACCCCTTAGCCTTTTGGGTTCTCAAGAATAACCAAAGAGTCCCGTTCTATAACTTTAATAATTTAATTTTAAAATATGCTAGCATAATTTTAATTAATGGTAAAAAAATATTAGTTATAAAATATAAATGGGTTGTGCGTGGCTGTCCATATTTATTTTTTACATTTCTCATGTCCGTCCGTTAATTTTAACGAACAAACCTAGGCCCTTCTATTTTCTCGATAATGGTTGTCCAAGCCCATATTTTTAGTGGGCTGGATGGGCCGGGTTTAACGGGTCGTTCCGTCCATAAACAACTCTTATATATATATATATATATACACACACACACATACACATACACATACATATGTGTATGATTGGGTTCAGGTGAGAAAGAAAGTTAAATGTGAGAAGCTTAAGAAGAGATCTCCACCCTTAGATGCATATTAGAATGAGATGCACCAGATTAATCTCTATATCAAGTACGATTCATGGATGGATTTAAGATTAAAGGTGATCAAGGGTCCAGATGTCTTCTTACAGTCTTATACTTCTCACTTTAACTTTTATTTCTCACACGATCTTTCGTCTCTCTCTCTCTCTCTATATATATATATATATTTAGAGAGAGAGAGAGAGAGAGAGAGAGAGTAGGATAGAGTCCCAATCAAATACAAACAATAGAAATGTTACAAACTATATAAACCAATCTCAGCCGTCCATTTAATATATGGTTTTATAAATATATCTATTCTTTTATAATATAAAACATTGATCATTATTAATAAACTCTAATCATATTACATAAATATTCAAACAAAAATAAATGAACCTTCATAAACCATAAATATTGATTTTCAGATTTGTAATATTTTGAAAGTTTGTATTTGATTTTCAATATCTATATGTATGCATATATATAATAAAAACAAAAACCTCAAATATATGTTGAGAACTCATAAGAAATAATCTCAAACATTCAGTGAGTTTGATCTAAGGATATCATATCGTTTCATGATATAAAGCTATACATGCTTCATTGATTATTATATATGTACGTAAGTACGGATACATAAATGCGAGTACGTATGCTGTTCTATCTAATTAATTTCTGCTCGATATTCTACTCACCTATTACTATTGGTAACGAACCACATTTATTGTTGTTAATTATGTCTCGGGACCTATTAGCTTCTACAATGCTCGTTTCTTGGTGTTGGTGACGAGAGTGATTCGAGAAAGCACGATCTCGATGGTCGCAAAGCAATCCATATCGAATCGTTGTATATACATACAGATATAATGGTGTTAGATATATATAATTTGAACATTTGGCATGCAGACAACTACTTGAGTGAGGAATGCAACAAGGGATTACTGGGGTGTGTACAAAGGTTCAAGAAAGCAGGGAGCAGGACATTCAAAGGCAACACATGTGATGTTAATGATGTTACCAACACCATTAATCTTGTTATGGATGCTGCAGTTCTTGCAGGCAGATATATTCATAAACCCTAATTAATTCATTGATATTTGGCTAGCTGGCTCAAAACCCTACCAACCATGAAGATGGTCTGACGTGGCATTAAGATGGGCCCCACGTTATGGATGACGTGGGAGGATGATTGAATATTCCCACAAAAGTTGCCTCATTATTCTTTTTTAGAAGTTTAATCGACTGCATTTTGATCATGTATTGTAGCCAAAAACATATATAATTTGATAGACATGTGCCAACAAATTAAGCTTCCTTTCATAACGAGATATTTGAACAATAAAATGACGTCATATTTGTTACATTCAGTATTTTCTATTTTAAAGAAGTTTACTTTGCAAACCACGTTATTTGTACTAACCGTAACAAATCTCATTCAACCAATCATAATTTTTTCATTTTGTTTATTTTTTTGTAATTATGAGAGATTGATTAATCATTTTTATTGTGGATGGTGTTAATCATGGATATTATCATCTTCATTATTCTAATTTTAAAAACATACACGAAACACTTTCATTAAAATTTCACTAAATATTATATGAAACAATTTCATAACCATATATGAAACAATTTCATAACCATATATGAAACAACTTCATCAAAAAAATTATTATATAAAACAATTTCATGATTTTTTTTCTTCATAAGATTAAACAATGAAATCGATGGATGAATGTGGTTAGAACGGTTTGTATAAATTGAATGGTTTGCATTTGATCGTTCCTCTATCTATTTTTTATGCATCACAATTTCATTCGAGTTTTATGACACAATCTAGTGAGCATACCACAAAGGTCTTATATACACTGTTGAGTTGTTTTGCTATTAAAGTATGATGTGCACTCGTATAGGGAACGGACCGAACCATTTATTTCTTTAACGTCTACAACTTATCTTGCCTTTTCCCGTGATGTTTGACTATTTCCGTCCGTCATATTACATAATTTGGATTAAAGTATGAACGTTGCATTACCTCAATGAGCAAATATTCATATACACCTTTATGTTACTGTCACTACGAAAATGAGGAGTGTCGGGAAAAACACTCGCAAATCCGTCGCTAAAGGCATCATCTATCGCTGATCGTTTGTCAGTCAAAAGCTCATAGATAATGTTATCAGTGATGGATCAGCGACGGAATTTAGCGACAGATTAGCGAGGAACTTTTAACGACGAATTTTCTCTCGCTAATCTATCGCTAATTTTTAATTTATAATTACATAATTCCTATATTATTTATACAAAATCTGACCATAATATAACAAACCAAAACCGACAGGTATATATACATATAACACACACATATGACGCATACACATGTGTACATATAACACACACTTTATCTACACATTTGCATATACACATATATGTATTTAAACATATATATATATATATATATGTATCATCTGATACATGCATCTTCAACAATTTATACATAGATCCAATAGTGGTTAACAACTAGCACACATATATACACATCGTGTACACACATACACACACACACACACACACACACATATATATATATATATATACACGACCCAATGAGTATATATACATAAAATACATACACATGACGCATATACATGTGTACATATAACACACACATTTAAATATATATATATATATATATATATATACATCATCCAATATATGTATCTTCAACAATATAAATATAGATCTAATTATCGCGGTTAGCAACCAAAACACTACAAAATGAAGAGTATAAGCGAGGGAAAATTCTCTCACTGATCCGTCCAAAAGGGGTGTTCTGTCGTTGATCCCTCGCTGATAGTCCATCGATCAAAAGCTCGTAGTTAATGCTATCAGCGAGGATCCTTTTAGCGACGGATCAACAATGGAACCTTTCGGCGACGGATCAACGAGGGAAACTTTCAGCGACAAATCAGCGAGAGAAATTTTCAGTGACGGATCAGCGAGGGACATGGAAAGACTCTTAATGACGAAATTTCCATCGCTAATCCGTCGCTAATGTTTATTAATCTAAAAATAAATAATTTATAATTACATAATTCATGTATTTATTTATACAAAATCTGGCTATAAAATAACAAATCAAAACTGTGAACAAATTAAAACTAACCACTTCATACAATTTAAAATATCCAATTCATACGATTTAATGTTCAAGGTCATACAATCTAACTACCGGGAGGTGGGAGAGGGGGAAAATGTATCCTGACTGCCGCATAAACACAGAAAAATTCTCCGATAAAGCTGCCTGTTCGGCTAATGCAACAATTTGTTTGATTTGTTTGGCTAACGAGGCAGCTTGTCTGGCCTCCAAATCTGTCCTACTCTTCCGTTCAGTCTCTAGTTCCTCCCCTACCCTTGCCAACTTCTCTCACAACCCCGTTACCTGTAAATATTCAATATTCGACAAAATTAGTAATTTGTTCGCAATTTCAGTAATGAGAAAGCACATAACAATATAACCAACATACCTCGTTGTTGACTCGTATGATCTCCCAGTACTACTGCTTCATCTATCCTTCATAGCATAAGAGGGATCCTGGGAGGTCCTGAAACTAAAGATGCAGCCCTTCCTCCTTTAACACTCTTCTCCTAAAGAGATGTCTCATCAAGGGGAGGGGTGTCGATACTAGACTGTGACTCACCCCTAAGCGATTGAAATCTCCTATGGTTCACAAAAACAAAAACGGGTGAGGTTATATATGTAGAAATTTCAGCAGTATAACGACTGTAAATCAAACATATCCAATGCCTATTTTTAACAATTAAAGCATTATAATAATGGTAGTCACATTTTCAATCAATCTACTTAGCCTAACATGTGTGCAACAATGACAACCTAAACTAATAACATCACTATGTTTATTAAAATATATTACCTTAAACCTACCAAACGTTTCGAAGTAACGGTTTTAGAAAACTTACATGATACCTAGCAGCTTTGGGGTAACTGAACTGAGGAGGATCGATAGGCGAGTCGGATGAACCTTGATCGAACTTTCGGTTGGTGAAGCGAATGCGCTCAAACACCTCATTAACAATCAACTCATGACCCATTAGTTTTTCCTACATTAAATAATTAGGTTAAGTTGTTAGTAAATATAAAGAATGAATTACATATTCAAAAAATATTATATACTCACCATCCTGTCTCGATGTTGTGCAGTACTGATCGATCCCCGAGTGTGTCTGGACGACACCCCTTCAAATTGTATGTTCCAATTGGCCCTATTGATCTTGGATTTTTTTTCCAGGGCTCGATATCCCAAATATGTTAAAAACATACCACATATATAAGGCGGTATAAAACAGATGATAGTTCATAAAACTCACAGTAGAGATACATACCTGGTCAATCATCTGAAGCCAAAACGTCTCTGAAATCCATAGAGAACGGTGTAATCTAATATGTGAGAAGTCCTCACCGTCCGATTGCTGAGCACCAGGATAGACTTGTGCCACGGTCCAGTCACGTGCAGCGCTCATCCAATCTGAGTACCTATTGTGCATGACTTTAGTCCATAAATCATGAATCATGTCATCCATTCCCATTGGAACTTAGCCTACATACACAATATTTGTATCAATGTAAAAATAATAACCTTATATGTTTAATTACATTAAAATGGTACACCAACCCGAAAGCACTGGAACATCAAGTCGTGGACTTCCTGAGAGACTTCCTTTCATCTATGCCATGGACAAGCAAAGGAAGACCTGAATATAGCCGTCATCTCCCGGATAACATGAGCATCTTTAAACCTACACAATTAAAAAATATTTACAACACAAAAGACATTCATATCATTTTATTATGTAATACAAAGTCTTATACCACATCTACTTACCCGTTGCCTAACAATGAAAGATATCGTCGCTAACTCGGATGACTGGGTGTCGGCATCTCATTGTTGGGGCCTCTCCCCGACCCAGAACCTGTCAAAGTTGGGGCCTCCATGGCCACCTCTTGTTCATCTAAATTCTGGAGGGCGATCTCCGTGAACTCCATAATGTCATCAGTGCGCGAGTCGCCATGCCAGCCAGCAGAGTTGCTGCCCCTACCAGACATAGGGATATTCAACTCTCATGACGGTTTCTACCGCGCTCTCAGCATGACATCTCCTGAACAAAACAAACATTAGATTCTATTATAAAAAAGATATTGACAAATCACGATTATATGCACAATTGTGAAATAAGCATACAGAAGACAAGCTACTTATAAGAAGAATGATCAAATAACATTGGTTCATCTTCATCATTTGAATCATCATCTATGTCTTCAAATTTTGGTTCATCTTCGCTATCTTCTTTTCATGGCATATCGTCTCTATCATTGTCTGATTCGTTGCCACCTTCATCTTTATTAATATTATGGAGTACGTTTACCTCCCCTGTGGCAAGACGAACATCATCGAGCTCGTTTCCCAATGCAAACATTCTAGGAGTTACCCTTTCGTTGAGTTGAAAGAATTGTTCTCCATCCACATGATCATTGTTTTCAACATCGTTAATCATGTTGGATGACTTTAAGGTTTTAACTACTAGAAAGTCAAACCGTAGGTTTAAAGGAGTTTCAGATGACTTTAAAACTCTAATTGTAACGGTTTGACTACTTGAAAGTCAAACCATAGGTGTGAGAGAAGTTGGTGGTATTTTGAACGAGTTGAGAAGTCTATATGTAAAGTTTTGACTACTAAACAGTCAAACCGGAGGTCTAGAGGAGTTTTGGATGACTTTAAAACTCTAAGTGTAACGGTTTGACTACTTGAAAGTCAAACTGTAGGCGTGAATGAAGTTAAAGGTCTTTTGAATGAGTTGAGAAGCCTACATGTAAAGTTTTGACTAATAAAATTCAAACCGTAGGTTTAAAGGAGTTTTGGATGACTCTAAAACTTTGAATGTAAAGGTTTGAACGAATTGAGAAGCCTATGTTTTCAAAAATTTCGGCTGCATAACGGCTGTAAAATGAATATTTCCAAATGAATTGAGCCTAGTGTTTGCCCAACAATTGGCAACCCAACTACAAATGAATACAATCAAGTCTAACATTTGCCCAATAATTGACAACCCAACTACATATTAACAAAATGAAGTCTAATGTTTGCTGAACAATTGGCAAACCAACTAATAATAACTCAAGTTTTAAATCACATAATTAAGTTAGTTAAACTCATTAATAATAAAATCAAGTCTATGTTCAATGGGTGGTCATGTTGATTCATCTATTATTAACTCAAAAGGACCTATATGTCTTCCATATGACCGGCCAAAATTATCATCAAATTAGATCTCTATTTCTAGA